AGAGAGAGAGAGAGAGAGAGAGAGAGAGAGAGAGAGAGAGAGAGAGAGAGAGAGAGAGAGAGAGAGAGAGAGAGAGAGAGAGAGAGATTAGGATATATAAACATGGAATATAAGAGCATGAAATTGATTGGATCCAGGGTAGTTTTGGCACCTACCGTGGGTGGTAGGCGCGCTTACCAGTCGGGCTGATCTGTAGGCGGACCCGTCGGCGGTCGGCAGACTGCCTTGCAATTTTTTTTTTTTTCCTGATTACATGGTCGTGCGCGGCTTGACAAGAGCAGCCCAAATCCGCAATAACTTTTTTTGGGGGTGGTGGGGGTTATAGGGGGAGGTATAGGGGAGGTATAGGGGGGTTGTAGGGGGTTGAGGGGAAGTATGGGGGTGTTGGGGGGGTGTATGGTGTTGGGGTGGGCTATGGGGGTGTTGATGGGGTTAGTTGGGGTTCTGGACCCAAAAAATAAAAAATAAAAATAAATATAAAAATATAAAAAAAGAAATAAAATAAAAATAAAAATAAAATAAAATATATATTTTTTGCGGGGTGCCGACCGACCCCTGACCGGTAGGTGCCGACCAGCCGACCGTCGGCTGGTGTTACATGCCCGGATGGGCGATGTACATAATAACCGAGGGTCTGCAATGTGATAAAAAGGACTGAATGGACAATGCTGTGCAAGTGGAATCTCAACTAGCAATGTGCATTCCGATACATACAAAATGCTGTTGAATAGCGCAGGGAAGATTTAGATACAAGATCTGACCTGACTGAGACTGACCTTTACCACGTAGTACAAGACAGCGAAGCAGAATGCTAGAATACTGATGACTAGCCCAATCAATGTTTCAACGTAGACCAAACATACATCACGCTCATCACAAGGTGTGAAGGAGCCTGGCGCTATACACAGAGAGGAAGCGCCAGGTCCAGACATACACAGACGAAGAGGAGGGGATCAGACGAAGAAGAGGGGGAGAGATGGGAATGTCGTTGACACCAAGTCTTTGTCACCAGTCCCAAATAATCCCTCGTTGCAATGTCTGAAGTCCAGAAGTCGAGTCTGGATCCAATGTCACCAAGCTCTCTCTCTTTTCTCTCGCAGTCTGCTGATGCAGTGAAGTCAGATGATGAGAGGGTGAGAGGGAGATGGTGGACCGAGAAGAGGAGGAAGAAGAACTCTCTCTCTCTGTTACGAGCCAGGTACTAACCTGTGAAGTTGGCGCTGTGCTGCAAGTACCTTGAAGACGAAGCTGGAGCAACGGCGCTGCAGGTAAGTACCTTTGGCCTCCGCCCAATCTCTCTCTCTCTCTCTCTAGTACTATCCTAGCTATGACGCCCAGCGCTGGAGACTACAGCTACCTACTGCGCCCACCGCTGAAGACTAAGGCTAACGCTACTACTACTCCTGCAGCGCTCCCTCCAGAGTGCTGCTGCCGAATCCTGGAGACTACTGTGTGGCATACTGCGTAGCCACACGGGCCTACAGGGCCCGTCCCGGACATTCAGCCTAAAAGCCTAAAACTTAGGGCTTACAGGCCCCGTTCATT